GTGGGGGTGTACTGCGGGGGAAGAGAATAGAGAGGTCAACGCACACCCCCAAACCGACATCCCCCCCACACCGACACCCACACATCCACACCCACCCCCCCATCGACACCCATACATCCACACCCACACCCCACACTCACACCCTTGAGATGGTGTTGACGATCAGTATTTCTCACTAGACATATGCAGCCAAAAATTCAAGTCAATAGCTTGAAATATTGAAGTACTTTAGCGGAGCAGGATCGGGACTTATGGCCAGCACTGTATCGATTGCTACTATATTTTAATTTGTTACACAAAATATTTTCTTCTTGCTTGACAAATAAACTTATTTTATACAATTCAATTTAAATTCTTGAAATGATGAAAAGTGTAGCTACTACATCTAAGAGGTAGTTACATATTTCTCAAATTATAAGAGATTAGATCAAGTGTACGTTATTTACGTCTAAAATCTCACATAGCTACGCCCGAGAATCATCAATAGAGAAACGTTGAATCCGCTGATTCCAACAGTCAGCCACATAAAGATTGCCATATTGATCGAAGGACAAGCTACTGGGACAGTGAAACTGATTTGCCTTTGCGCCTCTTCCATTTCCACCCACAACGACAGTACCGAATTTTGCACCTTTAAGCCAACGCATCACTCTATCATTCCTCGAGTCTGCTACATAGACGGTCCCTAACGCATCAACGAACAGACCATACGGAAACGATAATTGTTTCCAAGATTTTCCTTTGCCATGACCTCCAGCAACAATAATTCCTTTTTTCGCATATTTACCCCATTTCACCACGCGGTGATTGCCGCTATCTGACACATAAATAGATTGCTTTTTATCAATAAAAACGTGTCTTGGTTTGTTTAGTTGATGTAGACCATTACCTTGCCCGCTGCCACCCGCAACGATGGTCCCTTCTTTATCTCCTATTCGATATCGTTTTACTTCATGTTTCTTGTGGTCAGCGACGTAGAGAAATCCCTGATCATCCATAGCCAATCCTCGACAAGCGACATCATTGACAAGAATTTCTGTTTTAGTGATATCATGCTGACAAGATTGTCGTATCACTCGTCGATTCCCTCGATCACAAATAATGAGACTATTTGTAGTTTTGTCCATTAAAACATTGATAGGACCACTCAACGAATTCAATTGACTATCTGTACGATTGCCACCGGCTACAACTTCTTTATTCTTACTACTCATGTTATAACGAACAACACGCTCATTAGCCCAGTCAGTAAAGATTATCGTTTCATCGTCATGAACAAACAAATCTACAGGCCAATAGATTTTATCGATGTCATTGCATTCTCTATGATCTCCAACGATGGTCACTCCATTTCGTTTCCATTTAGCACAAACTGGAATGTTGTGATTTACTAAAATAAATGGAAAAGCAAAATAGATAGCCAATGTCGAAAATATCATTCTTCTTCATCTTCGTGATTCTGAAGAAGGAAGGCCTATCTAAATATATAAAGATAAAGAAGATCTTACTGAGAAGCTTTCACATTCACTGCGTAAGATGATCTTGTTTTCTCTGTAAAAATATTGATAATCACCTGTATTATTTGTAACAAGAGAATTTGAGTGTTGTGGCGGAAGACATTGAGAAGATGATTGACGTTGAATAGGTAATTGTTTTAAACTTTCATATTCTTCAAGAGCTGTATTTAAATGAAAATAATGCATAGGAAAAAGATAAGAGAATGAACAATCTACCTTGACTTTGTTCTTCAGGACTGAGATTCTCGTCAATCTTATTTTCTAATAAAGAATCATGAGAGTGATATGAATATATCCAATGTTTATGTTCATTTAAAAGGTCAAATAAAAGACGATCTTCTGGCTCTGAAGAATTTAGATTAGTATTTGACTCTGTTGGATATGTTGATGTTGATTGAGCTTTTGGTAATTCTTCTAATTGAAAATCATATAATTCTTTTATATCCTGTCGAGTAAAATGCCGATCTATTTGATGACCATCAACCACACTAGAATATAACAAGAAAAAAAAATCGTATCAAATTTTTTATATTTTTGAAATTAATCTGTACCGTTTTGAAAGTGATTGTTTAACAACTTGTCGTCGATAAATTTTTTCTTCCATTGTGCCGTGAGATACAAATCGATAGACATAAAGTGGTTTCTTTTGACCGAAACGATATGAACGAAATAATGCCTGAGCATCATTACTAAAGCAAAAGAAACTTTATCAATCCAGAATCTAAGCGATTAATATACGAAATCTCACAAGAGATTTCTTTTTCAAATAAAGAATTCTATGATGATATTCACCTGGGATTCCAACTTGCATCGAAAATAATAATTCGATTACTAGCACTTAAATTAATTCCAATACCACCAGCTGTTGTTGATATTAGAAATAATCGAGCACGTGAATTCGAAGGATTATTAAATGTTTCTATATAAATTTTTCTTAATAAAATTTTTGTTTTACCATCGATTCGGAAATAGTCTTTTTCAGAAACCCACTGCACTGGTGTAGGTATACTGTGATTATTCTTTTCTAATAAAAGTGTTTGATATTTTTTTTCATTTTGAATCTGTAAATGTTTTAGAAAATTTTCAATATAATTCAATGAATATAAACTACGTGAAAATACAAGAATTCTATCACCGATTTCAGCACATTTATCAATAATAAATTTTAATAATAAAATTTTTCCACTTAATTCTACATCAAATTCACTTTGATTGGATAAACTATCTAAGTAATCAAACCAAAATTCCTTACGCATTTGATTTAACCATGGCTTAATAGAATTTTCATTTTCATCATCATTATAATTTTTATTATTTTCTATATCAGTTTCACTTGAATCAACAGTTGTTGATGATGACCTACTTTGCGTTGAATCATCTTTACCTATATCAATATATTCATCACTATCAGTTGATGATGAATCAGAATCAATTGTTGCTGATGTCAGAGATTGATATTCATCCACTTCATTTTGAATATTGTTCATTGAAAAATCATTCAAATTATTTTCCAATGGTGACTATAACAAATCAAAATAGCTCAGAATATAAAATGCTTATTAATTACTTTAAAGGTTAAAGACTACTTGAATTGGGTAAGGTAAATTAATGATCCCTGAGATTATGTAAATAACGATGAAATATGAACTAAGCCCTATCGACACATTAGGAGATCCATTTTTATATTTATCTTATTTATTTCGATTTCACATGATTAAAGCAAGCAAAAGCAATATCTTATATAAGACTACTAAAATTTAATAGAATAAAATAATCATTCACCTGTTAATCGCATGAATTACAATATTAACATTTAATGGTGGTAAATTATATTTGGCAATGAGATTAGTATTTATATGAGCAAGAAAATGTAAAAACTTGATTATATGAGAAAGGATGGGAAGGGCTTCTAATGTGTCGATGACTTAATATTCTAACAACGATAGTTAAGCATCTTAATAAAATGTATCGTATTATGTAAATGTCAAAATGTTTAATTGTATCTACTCTAAATTAATACGTAAATTTGCTTTGATTTACCTTATTTTCTTCATCATCAATAGATACAGTTTCTAGTTCATTATCGTCACGAAAAATATCTTCTAATTCATTGTCATTATTTAAACGATCATCATTTTTCTCGAGTCCTTTTTTCCAGCGGTTAATAAAATATGGATAGAGTAAAAATGGATGTCTAAAAATAAAATATTCGCATTATTAGTTATTTGAATATATTCATTTCCTACGTCCATATTTTGTGTAAATATTGATAATCAGCAAATAATTTTGCTGATTTAAAATGTTGGTTTGATCGAGGTGAACGTTGTGTTTTAGTAACTTTTATTTGTAAATATAGATAATATAATCTTGATTGTAAAGGACTTAATCGTATATTAATAATATATTCAAATTTCGGTGGTAAATATTCTTTCAGTAATGAGTGATCTTTTCGATCAACAAAACCAGTTAAAAGTTCATGCAAAACATAAGCACGTTTTTTCATTAAATAAACATCTGGTTCATTTGAATTACTATGTTGACCATTTTCAATTGGATTAACGAAACGATTTTTATATTCATCTCGATCACCAAGTAAATTTGGTTTAACAAAGGATACCATACAATAACTAATGAGAATACAAAAAAAGAAAAACTCAAATTTTTGAAACTTACTATTCAAGAAGATTATTTTGTAATGGTGTTCCAGTTAAAACAATACGACGAGATGTCTTGATTTTTGATAAACAATTTGCAATAGATGTTTGAGCATTTTTTAAAATATGACCTTCATCGGCAACTAAACATGAAAATTCAAATGAAATATCTTTAAAACAATGATGGTTTACATTACCAACAATATCCGGTCCTGGATCAACAAGACAATGATATGCATCAATTTGAATTTTTTTATTTTTAATTCCAATACCTTTTACTAATCGCTCATACATCTGATAACCTATAATAAGAACTCCACCATTTTCATGCCACTTATTTAAATATTCAACACGTAAATCAGGTTCAACTATTGTTAATTGATAATGATTAATCGATGGTTCAATATCTTTCAACCAAAAGTTAAATTCATTTGACCAATTCAGAGCTATAAAAACGAAATAGAATCATTTTTTAGAAATCAACATTTCGAATACCTACCAGCATTTACTGGAGAAAGAACGAGACATGTTTTTATTTTAGTTATGTGACTGTAATTAAAAACAGTATGAATAAAACTAATAACCTGTAATGTTTTTCCTAAACCCATACAATGAGCTAAAATACAACCATTAGTATTTTGTTTTTTAGTTTTTATTGCATCAATCGATTCATAGACGTTATTCCATAGAAATTTTATTCCATCATATTGATGTTTTTTTAGATGTGCAACTAATTTTGGTGAAACTTCAATATTAGATTTATTTGTTTTTTTATCGAATTCGAGTATTAAACGAAGATTTGACTTTTCTGATTTATAACTTTTACTATTTGGTATAAAAGATGATTGTCTAAGTAGAGTATTATTGTATAATTTTTGTATATTAGCTAAACGTTTTCGACGTTGACGCTCGACTTCAATAGCATATTTTGTTTTTACATTTAAATCTTTATCGTGAATTATTTTCCGAATATTTTTTCGACCAGTTTTTCGTTTAGTTGAAGAGTCTTTTTCCTTATTTTTAGTTCTATTATTTCTTTTTGTTTTCTTTTGGTTTTGACTAGATGTTGCATTATTTTTATCTTTTATTTCAAGTTTCGCCTTTTTCGAATGTTTTACTGCAACTGCATTATTTTTGTTTAGCTCCTCGGATGATGAAGATGACAATAATCTTCGAATTCGGATTTGACTTGATGAACGTTTTGGAGATAGAGTAAGTGAATCTTTAGAAGCTGTTGATTTCTAGAATTTAATAAAAGCAGTGAAGGTTTGAACTTGTCGCAAACACGTTATTCTTGGTAAAATAAGAAAAAAAAATATAAACGAACTCATTTAGATTTTAACTCGTCTTATCAAATACTTCGGAATAGGTTTTATCTTTTTGAGTAATGGAAGAAAAACAAAATCATACATACCATTTCATTATCTTTGTCACTATCATCACTAGATGATGAAAGTACCTCTCGTTGTTTAATTTTAAGTCTTGATTTCATGTTGATTATTGATGTATCAGAGTCGGATGATGACTCCGTCAGACGATGGTCATCAGTGAATTGATTTTTTTCTTTGGTAGATGATTTTGAACGTGATAAAGTCTCAGTCGATTGCCTGTATCAAAAAGAAATTTCATCGTTCAGAAAAGAAAAAGCCACTACGTTTTCCATACGATTTGTCTATTAAAGGTTGTTGTGCATTTGCCGTTAATAATATTTGACCAGTAGAATCTGTTGACTGTGACAAGCATGCATTCATCATCAAATCTGAATAAGAAAACAAAACGCACTATCGTTTAAAATATTTAAAAAAAATAATATTATGCATCTAGAGATTTTTTTCTTTTCTGTCGTTCTGTATCTATAGCATCCGAATTTCGACGTTGAGTACTGTTTCTCTTCAAAAACTTTACACAAATGCAGAACATCGACAGATGGCTTTTGTAATAGATTACTTCGAGTCTTTCGTATTGATATGTTAAATTTGATTGTCTTGATCATGATAATAGTAATATTCTAAATGGTTTCTTTAGTTATGCTATTCAGGTGGATTCATAGGATAAACCGAACGATAGTACTTATGCCTATCGAAACGAATGCACCTATGGGCAGGTTTTGATTATCGATGATCTTTGAAAATATGAATTCTAATTATTGTTTGCATCAGAATTTGAATGTTTTTGAATGATCAGCCAAAATATTTTACATGAACTGCTGAAAAACTTTCTTGGATTCTTCCAACTAACATTCTTTTTCTGGATGACGTTCGTGTTTGTTCTCTTGTGTTCTTGCGTATTTGTTTTCATCTTTCTTTCTTTATTATGAACCACACATACTAAAGCAAGAGCGCATTTTTACTATCGCAAACAAAATTGTAACATCGAACGAAAGAAAGAACGAGAAAAGGTAACAACAACGGCTATAAGCAAATAAGGGTGTGTGGGTGGTAGTGCGTATTGAAAGAAGAGCTACACCGACATCCGCAAACCCACACACGCACATTCAGACCTAGCCACATCCACATCCACACTCAATTAGGATCCGCATAGGATGGCTTATTCGATGAAAAAGAAGACATTTGTCGTATGCAATTTTATGATCGAATTGTTTACTTGGCTAATGAAAATAGTATTTATTAGATAATCAATGAGAAATATATGTTGTAAGAATATGAGCTTTTTCTCTTTCTAGGTAGTTGAGTCGAATGATTAACTTCATTACTTCCGTTTTATTAATTATTCGTTTACCTTCTTTGCGCATATGTAGGACGTTGTTTTGCATAGTTGGTTTCTTCGAAATTACAATCATGAATCAAATTTCCTTGTTTGTAGAAACCTAAAGGCTTCTACGACATAATAATTTTTCACATCTTTTGTTGTATCTATGTCATTTTCTTTTATTTAATACGATGGGAAATGGTGTAAAGATGTAACGTGGTTCTGTTTTTGAGTAGAAAGCTGATACTTTGTTCCACAATATTAAATAATGTTCGTTGCGTCAAGATCATCACAAATAACAAAGAGCGAATCTATGAACACAAGGGTGTGGGTGTTATATCGCTCTATTGGCATCCACACCCACACGCACATCCGACATACCAACACCCACATCCACATAGGGTTGAGAAGAAAACCGATTTCTAGTGATTCCATGTAAAATTGCTGGAAATCTGCAACGATCCCATCATACATAGCCGTTATATGCGATTACCCATGTGGAGTAATTGCAGACAAATTCTAGGCAACTAGAAAAACTGTGGTTGAACGACTTTGAGCAGTTGTCTCTTGACAATTTTTACATGACGTTGCAGAGCTGACATTACTCTGCATATCTGAAAAAAAGGAGAAAAAATACTCAAAAATTGATCCAGTTATGAGAACTAGCAGCCACGATCGTGATTTCATTCTTGCTAAAGGGACTCATCAAGTGGCATAGTTCATATTCGTCATACGGCTTGTTCAAACGTAACGCTGTTACGTTTTTGACATACTCTTCTCCAACTTTCTGGAAAAGTTTAAGAGCTAGGAAGTTCGTTCAAACGTCATTCGACGCAGCTTATCGAACTTCATTTATCATATAAAAATGACCTTTTCGATTGAAGTCTCAAGCATCTAGAAATGTTTTGTCATGGCGTAACGCTGTTACATAAAAGCACCCTTTTTTCCAGTGCCACTGAGAAAACTCTAATTTCTTGCGAAATCATTTCTTCAAATGTAATGCTCCAAGGATCACTTTTGTAGAGCATTGAATAGGCTTTCAGGCAGTAAAAAACATTTTCTCTAAAACATTTTCGTCCAAATAAAAAATGCAAAAAACAAACGTAACGCTGTTACATTTTTCGTAACGCTGTTACATAGTTTTTTGTTGACCAATTTTGAGGCACTTAATGCACTCGGAATTACTTGATTTTTATAATTGTTACTGTTTTATATGTAGACAATCCTCTCTCCAAAAATGAGATTGATACATCGATCTGAGAGCTCATAAACTGGGCAGGAAGTTGGAAACTTTATCGAAGCTTTCAATCCGTTCTAAGCTACCAAAGTCAAAACTAAATAGACCATTTTGTAGAGAATTTAATTCTGCATCGAATGATATGTCTCTTAGCCCTTGTTGAAAAAATTTCTTGGTTAAAAAATCCAAAATACGGTTTTTGAAAACTTTAAAATCCGATTTTTGATATCAAAATCTGATTTTTATGCTAAATCAATATCAAATTCGTAATCAGCGTAAAAAACTGCATCTAATAGTCTAATGAGATCTGTCCAACTCGAAAAAACATTTTTTCAAAACTTGATCAGCGAAGTGTCGCGTTACGCGTGGACAAGCCGCATAACTGTAAAGGCTACGATAAAAACTGATGTTCAACTCCTAGTTAGAGAACTAGAAGAGAACCAGTATTAATTGTATATGGCTACAATTACAACAGGGACGAAATCACGATCGTGGCTGCTAGTTCTTATAATGACGAAATCAAAGAAAAAACAAAAATAAAAGCAATGTAATTACAATTTTATTACTCAATACTGATGTAATGACGAAATCAAAGAAAAAACAAAAATAAAAGCAACCTTGCATAATTTTGTTTTTCACTCATTGAAAATGCAGTTGAATACACCTGATTCGTCTTGTCGTGGTCCAACTGAAACAAGTCATTGGGGTAAAATATTTACATTTTTTTTTTGATTAAATAAAAAGTTTAATAGAATAACCATGATGTTGTCGTATGGTATAACTTAAACCTTAAACGTCAAATGTCCCACTCTGATGGACCTGATAAATCATACTATACAAAAGAAATTACTCAGTACTGACTGATAGATAATATAACAGATATTTTATTTTGAAAAACTTGCGTTTTTGATTTTTTCAATGACATCACCAAGTACAACGCTAGGCAATCTGATGAAACCATCTCATCATTTCTCAACACATTTATTAGGACATTCGTTCTTTACGACATGAAATATTCTAATCACCGCTGAATAACCTCAGTCTTGTTAAGGTATTACGCGAGCGAGTTTTTCGTTCTTTTGAAGGAAATCAACGTACGCTTTCCGTTCCTACCAATGTGAAAAATTTTTGATGATCCTCAGATTTTTCCGGCTGCAGTGAAGATAGCGATCCATTTCTAAATTCTTAGCGATAGTTCTGTTTCTATTCTCGTGGAACATTCAGTAACCACTTTGTCGATAAAACAGAACCATTAGTGCGATCATTAGACGATCGTTTTCTCTTCGCTAATATTAACTACGCGATACTTATTTGGTCTCATAAGCAAGTCTTATATTGAAATGAAAAGTGCATAAACGTGAAAAAAGTGTACAATATTGCTTTAATTGATTTTTTTGAGCGATAAAACATAGATAAATAAAATTCTCTCTAAGGCAAAACTCTTTTTTTTACATAAATTGCGAAAATGGGAAAGCTCATGTCGTTAAGATCGAATGTTCCACCTCTATAACAAAAAAAAAGTATCTTTTTAAACTATAACATGATCATAGTGAGAATCCAAAATCTCTATGTTAGTGATCTAGTTTTTTTCTCATTGTCAAAACAGTTTCCCTTAGTTTTAAGAGTTAACGATAAAATATTTGTTTCATTTAGTTATTCCAGAAGTGCTTTTATCAAGTGGATATCCAGGTGCAAAAGATCTAGATGAACATCGACGAGTAACACGTGCTATTTATGATAGTGGTATTGAAGTATTTGTTAACCTTATGCAAGAAAAAGAACTTGCTCGTTTTACTCCATATGAACGAGAAATTCGACAATATGCTGTTCAAGGTTTTTTTCTTTTGTTTTTATTTATATTGAATGGAAAATTTTCTAGATGGTCGAAGTGTTGAATTTCTCTCATTTCCAATTCCTGATCAATATGTTTGTCGAGATGATCAAAAAGTATTTGAATTTTGTCTAAATTTACTTAAAAGACTTAAAAACAATCATCAGAAAATTCTTGTTCATTGTTGGTAAATACTTTTCTTTAATTTTATTCTAAAACAATTTGTAAGCTTAATAATAAAGGGGTGGACATGGAAGAACTGGTACAATTATCTCTATTCTTATCGGAATGTTATTTCAATACGAAGGTAATTATTTATTTATTTGTAAACTTTTAACATAAACTAATTAATTAGCGGATGATGCTTTGAATTATAATTATCAATTAAAACGGCAACGTTTCAGAAGCAAAGGAAGAACAAGTCATCTTCATCCTCGTATGTTTAATTAAAAGAAATTCTTTTTTGTTAAATATTTTATTCATAGGTCAAAGTGAACAAGTACGAACAGTATTAAAAATCTACAAAGATCAACAAACATCTTCAATTGATTCACCAATCGAACAAAAGAATTTTATGTAATTAATTTTTATTGTTTATATAATAAACAAGAATTCCAAAACTATCATTTACTGATTTTGCCAATTTAGGAGTAGTGTCACATATCCAAAATTTTGGAAGTGCACCATCATCTCTCGTGGAAGATGCGATGCGTCT